GGTGTAGAAGGTCGACATATTGGCCGAGAGTGCGGGAGGCGACGTCTGGCGTCGAATGAGAGACGGGCGTCGTGTTGAAAGCAGACGGCCGAGTGACGAGACGCCAGAACGACTTCTCTCTCGGTACCGGAGACGGGACGTCGTCTCCGATTACAACAGAGTCCTCCGAAATTCTCCGAGAGAGAAATCACGTCGCAGAAAGTACACCGCTCCGACGACCGACATGTATAATGGTATTAGTATCGCGCGATAAAGATATTTTCAATGTTTGTGGAGAGGTATACCCATATCTATTTCAATCAATCTTAATCTCTTAAGTAGATAAAAGCGACTAAATAACGTAATAAAAAGATTCGACCGCATAAAAATTGTAAAAGATAAATAAAATACATTTCTGAGTGTATTATTGCATCGATAAAAAATAATGAGTACCCTAATACAAAGGCTAATTTATATCGGCTAATAATAATGTCGATCGTTTAATTCGCGTTTAATAGAAAACACGCAATCTTGCTGAAGGCGAGTTTATCAGGACAGCGAGATTCGCTCAAATAAGCGGGAGAGAGATTTTTATTATTTCACATGGAGTAACATCGAATCACGAAAAAAAACTGTGTGACGCCTGTGTTTTCACATTCTCTGCGACACATGTGCACAATATACATCATGCTTCCACCATTTCGCCGCGCGATCTCGCATCGCGCGACGCAGCTAACGAAATATTCTCGGCGAACAGACATTAACAGCTGTTTTTTTGGCGGGCGGGACGGGCGGGAGGGGCTGGCGGTGGAGGTTTTTTTACACGACGGGCCTTTAAAGTCGGCGCGGCGCAACGCTCTGAAATTACTGTCGACGCGGCCGCAGGGGTCGAAGGGGGACAACGGACCGGAGTGAGGCGGTAGGTTTTTGAAATATGACAAACGCACGTGCGTTGTCCATGGATAAATTTTGTTTATACGGCGAGTTGTGCGCGAATATATTCTCGACGCGTCGACACAACGTCGGTCTTTGATGAGGAGAGACGAGCCGTGGCAAGAGAAGCGCCCACCGCGCTGTAATATCTGTGTATATATATCTATATATATATATAT